CCACGTTCAGCTGCCACATTTCTAGCATCACACGAAGATCATGCTGCTTTCAGAAACTCTACCGCTGGGACACTTTCTTTCTAGGCCTCTAATGCTTTGTATGTAGTAGGTTTCTCTCACACAGTGCTCTTGAAGGAACTACAAACCATGACCACAGCTACAAAACTTAGCCATGGTTCCTCCCCTCCTCTCCCCTTCCTTTCTCCCTTACCCTCTTCCCCTCCCCTCCTCTCCCTTCTGAAACAGTCATATAACCAGATTGGCCTTGAATTTACTCCATAGCCAAGGGTAACTTTGAACTCCTAGTCCTCCGACTGTTGGGATTTCAGGGGTTCTCTCACCATGTCCACAATTGGGTCTACATTTGATTTCTTTTTCTTTCATTTTTTATTTCATTAACTCTGTTTTGTTTTTCTAATACTGGCGATTAAACTCAGGGCCTTGAACATGCTAGGCAGGTACTCTACTGCTGGGCCACATTCCCAGGCTATTTTTTAAATGAATTAATTCTATTATTTAATGTATGTCCCCCAAGTATGCATGCATGTGTGAGTGTGCACATTTTCAATTATTCATATGTGTGTGGTGGTTACAGGACAACTCTTAGAAGTTGACAGTCTTTGCTATCTTGCTCTAAGGATTAAACTCATGTTGTCAGACCTGTGCGAGAGCCTTCACCTCCTGAGCTGTGTTCACTAGCACATCTTTTTATTTCTGCACAGGATTTTAGTAAGTTGCTCAGGCTGGTCTTGAATGTGTGGTCTTCTGGCCCAGCTTTTTTTTTTTTTTTTTTTAAATACATTCTGAATTCATAGTGCCACTACAATTCAAACTCAGGATTGTGCTGTGATGTGAGTGTCCTCCATGGTGCTGAGGTAAGTCCTGACATAGCCCTTGTGGAAGATAGCCCAGTTGTCCCTCTGCTCTGGCTTATGGAGGGGATAACTCTCACCAGACACTTGATGCTGCATCGCTATCTTGGGGCTCCAGGCTAGGGTATGAGAGACAGGCTCCTGTTCCTGTAGATCACCCAGTACGGTACGTTTTTAATTGTCTTCTGATTCTTTATTGTTTTGTCTTTTTCAAGACAAGGCTTCTCTGTGTAATAGTCTGACTGTCCTGGAACTCACTCTGTAGAACATGCTGGCCTCAAACTCAGAGATCCCCCTGCCTCTGCCTAGGATTAAAGGCATGTACTGCCACTGCCTGGCTTTTAGTCCTTTCGTAAAGGGTCATAGTTCTTAGCAGCACTTGGAATGCTGGGCTTAGAATGTCTGTCATTGATGTTGCTCTCCAAAGCTTAGTGTAACCTAGCTTTCTCTCTGTGGAGTCACTTGATTTCTCTGTAGCTGTTTAAATGATTTTTTTTCACCTTTGAAGTTCAAAAACTTCTGATACATGCTTGGCAGGTACTCTTACACAGACTAAAAGTTTTAGAGTGGATCTTTGATATATTTAGGTATTTAATATTGTACTTTCAATGCATAGTCAAGTTTTAAAAATGATTTCATTTTTAAGATTATATATTTGTGTATTTGATTTCATTTTTTAAAAGTTTATTTATTTTATATATATGAATGCTAGAGCACCTACATGCCAGAAAAGGGCATCAGATCCCAGTACAGATAGTTGTGAGCCACCACGTGGTTCCTGGGAATTGAACTCAGGATCTCTGGAAGAGCAGTCAGTGCTCTTAACCGCTGAGCCATCTCTCCAGCCCTTGATTTCATTTTTAAGATTATGTATTTTTTTTTTTGTGTGTGTGTGTGTGTGTCTATGTGCTCATGCCACATGTATAGGTGTTCTTCAGAGGACAGAAGATGGCATCAGATCCCCTGGGGCTGGAGTTAGGAGTGATTGTGGTCTACCTGATTGTGGGTGTTGGGAACTGAATTTGGGTCTCCTACAAGAGGAGTATGCTGATCCATTTCTTCAGCCCTGTTGTCTTTTGTTTTGTATTTTGTGACAGGTTTCTCTGTGTAGCCCTGGCTGTCCTGGAACTCACAATGTAGACCAGGCTGCTTCAAACTCCCAGGGAGCTACCTGCCTCTTGTCTCATAAATGCTTATCTTCTTAATCCTAGGGAGTTTTTCTTGAGTTTTATTTTCAGTATCTGTTCTATGTCTTTGCTTTAACTCTCTTCTCTGTAGCATCTGTTGGATCTTGTTTGCTTCACTTCAAGATTTATCTTAAAATTAGAAAAAAATTGTTGTATTTTGTGTCTGTGCATGGGTTTACATGTGTGTATGTAGGCCCATGTGGGCAGGCACAGGTGTGCCATGGTGTGTGTGGAGGTCAGAACTGTAGAGATCAAATTCAGGCCTTCCTGCTTGGTGACAAGCATGTTTATACATGTTGCTGACATTTTTGTCTTTTTCTCTTGGTTCTTTTTTAGTTCTTAATTCTTTTTAAGAGCTTTGGAATGTTATTTGTGTACTATGAAATCACCACTGTTACGTATGCAGCTGCGGTTTCCTGGAGGTTCGTAGGACTCATGCAGCCGTTGCTATAGTATAGTTTTTACACTTCCACATTCCTCTACATGCCCCGCTGTTCTGTCAGACTCTCCAGTGCTCTGCAGTTCTTCCGTTGCAGTCATTTCAGAGAGCACCATCTCCTTGCATTTTTAATTTGCATCACCCATGGGACTGTAAGAATAGGAACACTGAACATCTCTTATGTGCTTATCAGGCATTTATACACACAAATGCACAGTTGCGCTCTCTTTGTTTCTTTCCTTCTTTTTCTTTATTTTTCTCTTTTCTTTCTTTTCCCTCTTTCTTTTCTCCCTTCCTTCCTTCCTTCCTTCCTTCCTTCCTTCCTTCCTTCCTTCCTTCCTTCCTTCCAGACAGGGTTTCTCTGTGTTGCTCTGGCTCTCCTGGAACTCACTCTGTAGCCCAGACTGGCCTAGGACTCAGAGCTCTGCCTAACTCTGCCTCCTGAGTGCTGGGATTCTTGTGCCACCATAGCCCATCTGTGTGTGTGTGTGTGTGTGTGTGTGTGTGTGTGTGTGTGTGTGTGT